TATCTTTTATTTTTAAGGACCAAAAGAGCTGTTATGTGATTGCCTATATATTTTCTACTGGTGCAGATGAGTGTGTATGTGTATCAGACTCTAGAGTATCAATAGAAGAGAATATGTGTAGCTCAGGGTTGAATTGTGGAGTCCTTGGGGTTCTCTGAGCTTGGCTGTTTTCTTACACACATTTCTTTACCCAGCTAGGTAACATCTTCAGTGCTAGAAGGGAGTGGGGTTTGCTCTCTGTTTATATACAGTGGCTTGCCCTGCCTGTGTTGGTGGGGGGGGGGGGGTTCCCCCTTGATTAGGGTATTGTTTACTGCTTGATTGCATGTCTGGTGACAACCAAGCTCAGAGAACCCCAAGGACTCCACAATTCAACCCTGAGCTACACATATTCTCTTCTATTGATACTCTAGAGTCTGATACACATACACACTCATCTGCACCAGTAGAAAATATATAGGCAATCACATAACAGCTCTTTTGGTCCTTAAAAATAAAAGATAATCAAATAATAGTCTAATATGCTACAATGATTTTAGTGATTTTTTAGAGTATTTGGGATCTTCTTAGTGATAGAAATCTATGGGGCTTCCAAAGAGGATCTTGTTTTTTAATCTATGCATCCTATTTGCAGCACTAATTCTTTTCTCTTTTAAATCTGGACAACCTGTTTGGCCAGAGTGGCTCTTTATTACCTGAGCTTCTCTCTATCTCATCTTAGCCAGTATTAATATTTCAACATAATGGATTTCTATCATGTCTCAAATCCATTCTCTTCAAAACCTCCTTGGGCCTAGTAAGCAGTTGTGTGCATGCAGGCCCACAAGATCATCCACAGGCCATATTCTCCTTGCCAGAAGAAAGGAAAACCATGCCAACAATTGTCAAAAGCAAAATAAGGATCAACTCTTGGAAACAGCTAGCTTAAAAAGTAGAATTTTATTTATTTGTTTATCAAATTTGTCACCACCCATAAAAAGTGACTCTGGGCAGTTGACAGAAGAGATAAAATCAATTAAAATACAATATAAAACAATCTTAAATAATTAATAAATAAATTCCAAGGGATGTTAACATTGGCAAACAGCTCAGGGAGCGTCATCAGGGCCACAGCCATTCCCAGGATTGATTACAACTCTTATCGCCCCATGCAAGCTGATGGAGCCAGGTCTTAAGTTCTTTCCGGAAAACTGGGAGAGTAGGGGCTGAACCTCTGATTCAAGCATGTGGAAAAAAGAATGATTGATTAGATTTTGAGGCCATGCAACTCCAAAACGATGGCTTACAATGTCAAAATAATACATAATATAAAATGAAACACATGAGAAACTTGAATGAAAGGTCAGAGGAGCTGTACAGTTTAGGACTCAGAAATGCCTGGCACATCACTGAATATTCTTTCACATTACAAAAACTTTGGCAGCAGCTCAATCACACTCTTGCTCTCTGATTGACTAGAAGTCTGTGTGCATGCTGGG